GCATGTCTTAATGAGTTTCAGCAGGTCTCCGAAAGACGATTTATTTTCGAATGAATTTAATATTCAGTTTAATTAAACTGTACTCAAGATACCAACGATTAATAATCATATAAACTGTGACCTGAGTGATTTTTCCAAGAAAATCCCATGAAATTCTCTGTCATTGTTTCAATGAATAAACCGTTGGTATTGGCGAAATAGAAACATTGCATTTTTTTTCTCTCTTTTTCAGATTGAGCGCTGAACAGTCCATCAGTTCAATGTCTGGTAGCAAAATGTTCATTATGCTCTCGCGCAAACAATTTCGTCTGCGGTTTTTTCAACGGGTTGATGCAGTGTCGTTGTATGAGAATGCTGAATAGCATCCAAATTGAAACGGATACAATGAAAGAAGGTCGATTTTCAATCATATAGTGTATGTCGTACATACTGCACGTAGTTTTGTTTGGTTTAACAATACAGATTTACATTTTCGATATGTTATTAATATTTTATTGCCCGAAATATTTATTATTATGTTATGTTGGGATTTTTTTAATCTTAATAACGTTATTAAGATTCAGCATAATAATCACATAATATGTTATGCGCTATATCGGGTGTTATCTTAATAAATCCTATGATTCGGCGCTAATAATATATTATTAACTATAATAATAACATATTATCAAGATGGATTTATTAACTCAATTAATAACATATTATTAAGATGCAATCTTAATAACGCTTTTTTCGCGCATTCTTTTCCCTAGCTAGAGAGAAAAAAAACACTGTATGGTGTACACAGCTATAACAATGCAGACAAAATATGGTAAAATGATCCTTTCAAGGTCGAGACTGGCGATTTCCTAAACTTAATGGTTAAGTTCAATACATGATAATTCCGTTTCAAAGAATCATTTTAATTTAATTGCAACAGTGCAAAAATTCATGGGTGTACTCTGCAGTGAAAAAACAACTTGTCAGTGCTCCGGTGAAAAAAATGCGCGAAAAAAGCGTTATTAGGATTGTATCTTAATAATATGTTATTAATTGAGTTAATAAATCCATCTTAATAATATGTTATTATTATAGTTAATAATATATTATTAGCGCCGAATCATAGGATTTATTAAGAAAAGTCCAACATATTTCGTAAAATATTATGTTATTATTATGCTGAATCTTAATAACGTTATTATTATGTTATGTTGGACCAATATATCGGCCGTTATTATTATGTTATTAAGTATAGTTAATAATATGTTATTGCCTGTAAATCTGTGTTTAGCAACGGCATTTTTGTCGACATTTCTATACGATTTTGTGTCTAACACCAAAAAATCAGTTTATTTCATTACATTTTTTATATTCAATCGAGTCAATAGAAATATTTTGAAAACAAGGTGCGATTTTCAAGAAGGATTTTCTGCATGATTTCTTGACGGACAACAAATTCAATTCATTTCAAACAAGGTAAGCTAAGATGGAAGTCTCAATCGTTTTTGAATGAGTGTAATTTTCGTGAGTGCAATTGATAGCAGCATAAATTCGGATTCTAGTAATATAAATAGGGAACACTAAAACAACCAAATATAGTGCAAACAAGGTGGTATTTTAAATTATTCGCATTTTTTTTATTCGTAACTCAGTCACATGATTTGCGCGCAAATTCTTACCGCAAAATAATGAATCAGCATATTTTAAAATCCTAACATTTTATTCACGCATATTGTTTATTCGATTTTTCTATAAAAAACTCATGCAATGTGTGATTTCTATTTAGAATTTTTCGGTCATTTTTCTTGGATTAAGCAATATTTGAATGATACTTCACATTCACTTTTACCAAGTTTGTGCCAAAAACACAACTCTGGCGCTAGCAAAAAATGACATCATTGAATGTGCTATGAATATCCGTTGGATTTTTGTTCAGTGAACAATATGAAATGCATCTCATTCGATTCGTTATTTTTTGTTTTCATTTCAGTCACAACGAAAATGAATAAACTCGCTAAAGCACCGATGTATCGCAGACCACCAACGAAAGTCGCAAGATCGCAACAATCGACGATGTCACTGATCGGCATGAACGATGACTGTTTGACGAGCGTTTTTGGTTATTTGGACACTGTCAGCTTGGTAAATCCGAATAAAACCAATAAAAGATTGAAAAACATTGTCACAGACCGAGTGGTTCCAACGGAAGCTGTAGAATTTGATCTTGGATCGTCACGACCAACAATTTACGCAATGCTGGAACATTTTGGTAAAAAGATGACCCGAATTTCAATCATATTGGGTCTGGGAATTAGTTTTGTCGATTTTTTTAAATTTTCAAACATTTATTTGAATACCAAAATGAAATTACATTTCAATCAAAATATTGTCCATCGGAAGCGATGACCTTCTGCCACAATGTGGGCAATTGACGGATGCCTGCCTTAAAAAATTCCTCATCTTTTGAGGCTATAAATGCATCGAGCCAATTTTGGATTTCTTCAACTGAAGAGAACCGCTCTCCGTCCATATGGTTTTGCATCAATCGAAACAAATGGTAGTCGGAAGGAGCCAGGTCTGGGCTATACGGGGCGTGAGCCAAAACTTCCCATCCGCTATTTTCCAAGTAGTTTTTGACCGATTTCTCAATGTGTGGCCGAGCATTGTCATGTAGGAAAATCAATGTCTCTTTTCTGGTCTCCCATTTCGTGCGTTTTTCTTTGATTGCTTGTTTCAAACGTATCAATTGTTGTCGGTAGAAAGGCCCATCGATGGTTTGACCACTTCTCAGCAGCTCATAATACACCACTCCCTCCTCATCCCACCAAATAGACAGCATTACCTTGTCGCCGTGAATTTCTTGTTTTGGCTGTGATGTTGCTGGTTGGCCGGGCTTAACATACGATGCTTTGCGCTTGGGGTTATCGTAATGAATCCATTTTTCGCCACCAGTGACAATTCGATACAGAAAACCTCTTTTTTTGTGCCTAGCGAGCAGCATTTCGCAAGTCACCAAACGCCTTTCAGCTTGAGCCGGCGTCAATTCATGTGGTACCCAATTTGACAACTTGCGAATGAAACCAAGGGCCCTTAAACGATATCCAACAGTGCTTCGGTCAACATTCAATGCTCTGGCAAGCTCATCTTGAGTTTGACTCGAATCTTCATCGAGCAATGCCTCCAATTCCGCATCTTCAAACTTTTTTGGCTGGCCGGGACGTTCCTTGTCTTCCGTGCTAAAATCACCACTTTTGAACCGTGAAAACCACCGTTCACATGTACGTTCCGATGGAGCATGCTCACCATAGGCTTCCACCAACATTCGATGCGCTTCAGCCGCAGTTTTCTTCAAATGAAAGCAAAAAATTAATGCTTGCGGGAAATGTTGCTTTTTCGGTACAAAATTTGACATATTTAAGGCGCAAAAAAAAATGTTTATCCAAACTTCGATGAAATGATAGATGATGATTTTTGTAGTTTGACACTAGACCACTCATGTGAAAAAGAAAAAAGTATTGCCCGATACAACCATGCAAAGTTACGCCATCTTTTGAAAAATCGACACGATTAATTCCCAGACCCAATAGCTCATCCCGAAGCACAAGCAGCGAAATATTTTGCGTTTCGATGGATTTTTGGAATTGCTCACCGTTTATGGTACATCGGGTGAATTGCAGCAGCTTACTATCAAAGGTGGTGTTGGTGGAATATACTTCGACAATGTGTTTGAAACCATTCTGCCGTACGTTCACACACTCAGCCTCCAAAATTACTTTTCTTGGTGTAAGTCTATCAACCGTTTCATGGAAATCATCCCGAAGCACAATCTTCGCCATTTGTGTTTGGACAATGTTCCATTGGCTGAAAACTGGCTTTTTGTCAAATCACTACCACGTCTACACAGTTTTTGCACGGAGTTGTCTCATTCATATAGATCGTATTCCGAGCTGTGGAGATATATTGCCGAAAAACCACAATTGACCACCTTCGATTTAGTTGAATGAACGACAGAAACGACAGCAAAAGATGCGAAAGAAAATGTGCAAATCGAATTGTCACATTACCTTCCGAACATCACGCGAATTGGTATGGTCGATACGAAAAATTCTGGCTCACTAAAGTTGTCCCTGGCCAGACGTAGCAATGCAAAATTAAAATAGGAACACCTGTCCAACTTCACAAAATTGAAGCATTTCAGTCTGAAATCGCATGCCAAAGACTTCAAGGATTCTGGTGATGTTTTTCACATTTTGGCTGGCCGAAATACAATGGAATACCTGGAACTGATCACTGGCTTCATAGTGCGAGTTCAGTTTGATCACTTGTCTCGCCGAATAACACGCGTGAAATCGCTCCAATTTAGTTGATTTCGGCCGAACGCATTCAGATGAATTCGTGGGTAAACTATTTGAAAATCTCGCCGGATTGCACGAGTGCACCATAGTTGGCAGCCCCCATCATCAAATTGGTTCAAACTGATCGAAACTTACGCGCTTTGAACATGATATCATTATCGCCATCTTTCTACCGAAAATCGGTGAAGGTGCGACAAACGGCTCATCTCGGTCCAGTGGATCAACCGCTCGTCATTTGCGTCCCTAAGGAAATTGTTGACAAATGCAAAACGGACCTCACTAGCCGTACGTACTTGTATTTAAATTTATGTACACAATAGTTAGACACAATTGTGCACACAAATCAAATGTACTACAAATCTATTTTAGGCCTAAATGTGTACAAACTATTCCATAAAATAGACACGCATTGCGCACTGGGGTATGAACCAGCCATCATCACGCTTAAATCAACATTGAAAGTGAAATAGATACGAGAGATTCCTTTATTTTAATTAAATGAATAGAAAATGACGAGGAAGGAAGAAATTGTCAGTGGTGTGAAGAGGCTACTTTTTTAATGAATTTCCAGACGTTACTCACTCAAGTTCCACTGAATGTTAGCTCTCTGACCTAAATCCATTTGAAAAATTGCCGCAACTCTCGACCAATGTAAACTCCACGCAATGAATTTGCCACAAAAAAATCTACAGTTTATTTGAATTCTGTTAAATTTTGCCATTAACAATTGGAATTATCGTACTCTTAAGCTATTCGTTACGGTTACTGATCAATCAGCCAATGTCATTTCTACGAGAATACAGCAAATCTCTGTGAAATGTGACAGCCAAGTCATGGCATGGTAGGATATACAAAAATATGTGTAAATGTCCAATTAAATTTTGATATCATACTTTCTAAACGAAACGAAAAAAGAATTATAACAGTTAAATGATATCAGTGGATCAATTGTCTGCAACTCATATTTGCATATGTGTGAAATTAGTTGTTATTGGTTCTACTTCTTAGCATTCAAGTATACAATCGAAAAACAATATTCTTATTAAATCACAACTAAACATATTGAAATCAAAATGCGTCGATTTGAGGTCGACTATTCAACATAGTCGAGAAGTTGAATTGATGATTTGTCCCCATCTTCTTCGTCTTCGACACCATCTTCTTCCTATAAAGCACAAAATGAAAACAAGAAATTAGACGTTGTTCAAGTGGTTGCTTAAAAAAAGGCAATGAAACTCACCACAAATCCAAAGCATGTCGACATGTCTCGATCGACTTGGCCCTTGTCTTGTAATGGATCCTCATCTTCCAGATACAGTTCGGCTATCTCCATGTTCTCATCTTTGTCTTGCAATTGAATCTGGCTATTCTCATCCTCTTCCATATTGATCACTTCGACCACCATGTAACGCTGTCCATCCTCTCCAACGGCCATGATGGTTTCCTTTTTCGTTGGCAAATCTTCTTGCTCGATTGATGTTTCATCCTCGCCATCAACATAATCTTCTTCGCCCTCATACTCTTCTTCGTCCTCGAAGCCCATGTATTCGATTTGTTGGCCGTTGACAATTTGGACACGCTTCTTGCGGCCTACCTTCAATGCCATCGCGTGCTCTCGCACCGATGAGTCGGGATCGTGCAATGACATGTGCCGTATTAAATTGCCCTTGTGCCGGAATTGGCGTTCGCAAGATGGGCATACGTGAGTTTTTTCCTTTGGTGTGGGTGGTACATAGCTTGGATCATGATATAAATTAATGTGGCGTTTGAGTAATTGCTTCTGACGGAAGGCTTGATCGCATTGCGAGCATTGAAATGGTTTTTGATCAGTGTGGACAAGCATGTGAGACTCCAAGTGACGGGCCGATATTGAAGCATATGGACACAATTCGCATTTGTAACACTTTTCACCTTCGTGCGTCTTGGTATGGATCTGAAAAGAAGAATAAAGTCACCATTGTTAGTTGCATTGTTCTCATGCCGAATCTGTCCCGATTTTTTTTTTGACAGAATGAAAAATGAAGCAATCGAACTCTGTGCTTGCCTTATAACTATAGCGATCAGGGAATGAGTTCCCGCATCGTTTGCATTTGAGTGGTTTTTCTGCTGTATGTAGCTTTTGTACGTGGATACGCAAATCAGTCTTTCGTCCACAAGTCGTTGGGCACAGTTCACAATGGAACACTGGTTTGTCACCAACTAGATGAAAAAAGAGTAAATGTAGCATAAGATTTAGACATATTGTTTGTGTACGTAGTTGATATGCGGGGTTTAGAGCGAAAATGTAATACAAAAAAGTTGCGCGGAAAAATGTCGATGATAAATGAGCGGAAATCTATATAGTATACTGTATAGTAAACTATAGTGAACTATATAGCTATCTCTTTTCATTTGACATTTTTCCTTTCAACTTTTCTGTATGACATTTTCGCTCTAAACCCCCTCATATATAAGTCAACATGTGAAAGAGGTAAAATAAAAATAGTGTCCTTACCGCTATGAATAAGCTTGTGTGCCTTCAGCGAATTGGATTGGGTGAATCGGGCCTGGCATACATCACATTCGTACGGTTTCTCGCCGGTATGTATGCGTAAGTGTCGCTTCAATTTAAATGTGTCCGGCGATGCATATGTGCAATGAGGACATTGATATGGTCGTTCGCCCGTGTGACAACGAATGTGACGTTTCAATTTGCTCAACTCAACACTGGCATAATCGCATTCGTGGCACTTGTGTGGTTTTTCATGCGTGTGTCGATACCGTACATGTCTGACCAATTCACCAGATGTTGTAAAGCAGCTGTCACAGTACTTACACAAATGTGGCTTGGTTCCCGTGTGTGTATTTACGTGGTTTTGCAATGAAGCCAATGTTTTGAATCCACGTTCGCACACCGAACACTTATATGGTCGTTCCTCCGAATGGGATTTCATGTGGCGCGACAACAAATACCGTTTTGGGCTTGTGTAATTGCAATAGTTGCACATGTGCATTGCTAACGATACTCGGGATACTTTCGGCGTCTTAGCACCGGATGAGGTAGCAGCTGAACCGGCTGCTTTTCGTTTATCCTTTTTCACGGGTGCATCGTCGTCACTCAAATCCTCATCTTCTTCGAATTCGTACACTTTCTCTTCGACACCATCGTCAGCCAGCTCTTCATTTGTCCCATCATCGACCGGTGATCCTTTGTCATCCATAATATACACATAGCTAACTTCACCATCGGCATTGTCTCCTTCGTTCGTATCAAATGCCACCGCATCGTATTCACTTGCCTCCACTTTTGTTGTGATAATATTTTGTTTTCGCGTTTTTGTCGACACCGTCGCTTGTTCAACTTCCAAATTGTCTTCGCCCGCCGAGTTCTCGTCGTCCTCTTCGACGATAAACTGAATATTGTCACCATCAGGCGGTTCAGTTAACACCGGCTCCGAATCCTTTGTCGCTTGGTAATAATAATTACCACTCTCGTCGACAAAATAAGTGCCTTCGTCGGTATCCTCCATGGTATCTGTGCCGTTGGTCTGAAGCAATGTGATTGTTTGCTGGTTATTCCCTTCCAAGTCTTTGTTGAATGTTTCCAAATATGAATGTAATTCGTTTCCCTCCAATTTTACTTCTCGGAGCCGCGTCGTCATCGCTTGCTCAACACAACCGAAAACCACTTACGCGTTGCCTACAAGAATGCATAGTTTTAAATTAAGTCTGAACACAAATGCTTTTCAATTTTATTATACCCAACACATTCTAAATAATTATCATAGAAATTTTCAATAAAAAAAAACTACATCCGTACGCAATACGATCAAATGAAAATACTACCTATCGAACGAAATCGTATGCTGTATAGGCATACTGTCAAAACTGTCAAAACTAAAGACACTGTATTTCCCTCCGTATATATACACACAGCTGCCGTGTTGCTTTGCGAGAAGAAAAAATTACGATTTTCGAATGTACCCAGTATTATACACATACAAACGTTTCAATCGTACATCGCACGTCAGCCATTTTGATTATGCGACGAAAAAGACTCAGAAAATTTCTACGAATCAACTTCAATTCATCGCATTTTCAAACTTTGATGTTGTTTCTCGGTGAAATTGTTGTCGAAAATTTTTGCAAAAAATTGCGGCTGACAAATCGGGATTGGGAAAATAATAAGAATGAAACTGATTTTGGATTTCAAAACTAGGTGGCCGAACACTAAAAGTCTTCGATTCTTGTAAATTATCACCGTCGGCGCTGTTGGTGCGCGACACAAGAAAAATGGCTGACAGCAGTAAAAAGCATTTTTTCAAACAGATACACACGACTTTTGTCACCGCGCTCACCAAAAAATTAAATTAAACCAAATATTCCCGCATTTATTCGCACAAAACCACCAATTTACCAACGCAATTCGATTGATCTACGAAATTTGCAAATAAAATTCAACGACAAAATGTTTATTGAGACAAAAAAATATGATTTCACTTACGCAAGTATCGAGTATATAGAAATGTTTTGAAAAGGAGAATCTTTTTTTTTCTCGTCGCTTGAAGAAATAGCTATGCGATGAAACTTCGAATGATGGCCGTAAAGGGCGTTGTGTATAATTGCACGTATACGTACGCTCTTCTCGGCTTTATTACAGCAACTGTTTTCCAGTTCACAAGAGATGGCGTCAATACCGAATGTATAAAACCGAACAAAACGAACCGAATCCACGGTAAATTGACACATGTTCGTGTGTATTGGTGTGTATACCCAGGCCATTCGCTATATATGTGTGCAAACAGCACTAACATCAGTGTATGTCAGTCAATGTTCGTGTCTATGTATGCATGTGAGCCTGTATGTCGAACAGTTGTTTGCACAAATTCGGATAGGGCATGAAGTCTGGTTCACAATGCGCGAAAAGATTTGAAAACAGAAAAAAATGTTCCGATTTTACTTACTTTCGAACTTGCAAAGGAGAAAGTAAGCCATATTTTTTTTCGCGATTATTCAATTGAATAACTCGGATGGAAATTTCCATAAATCCAATTCGGATGTCTTGCTAAGTAATTTTGCATATAGTTTTTCATATTGAATGAAGAATAAGACGCATTGGAATTTGTTCTAGTAAAATCTGGTTCACTTTTTGTGAATTTGATTCAAATTTATTTATTTCTTTCATGTTTTTTTTTTAATTTTTTACAATTAACTTCTTTTATTGTTTCCTTGTTTCTTTCTTCTTGTCTTATACAACTAAATACTTACAAATTCATCCAAATTTTTTGAATTAAAGATAGTGGCATTAAACACACATTTTTTCTCCTAAATTTTAATATAAATACACGGTATGGTTCTCTCTCCCAAATGCTCGATTGAAGAGAATGGAAAAATAATATATAAATCAACGAAAATGTTGACCAAAAACCATGTCACAAAAAAATCGGCTACAAAAATCAAGTGCAATAATTTTTTTTCTAAGACAAAGCAAATGAAGAATGTTTTAATGATGATTACAAACAAATATTTACATACGCAAAAATGTTGAGAAAAAAAAAATACAGAGAAAGTCTCTGAACGAATAGAAAAAAGGCTCACGGCGAGAATAAATTATTTCAATTCTCTTGTAGAAAAAATATATGTCATTTTGATGTGTGTGTGTGTGTGTGTGTGTGTGTGTTTAAGTGCATTCACCACAGTTTGAATGAAGCAATTAAATGTCTACGAGTTCAGGAGCAACAAATGTACAACTCCTTAAATTGCATTTCAAAGCACCCACCCTCCCAGAAGAAAAAAAAATGTCATTGGTTTTCTTTCCTACGGTTTGTTCAAGCCATGTACAAGCTTTGTCACTTGTAGCCGCGCATCGGTTTCATACAATGTTCGGGGCTGTTGTTATTGATTTCAATTTTGAGTATATACACAATGGCTATAGACAGCAATAAGAACACGAACACGGTGATCCATTGAAGTTTCTGGTTGAATTTGATGCGTGTTTCTAGTCGTCGCGTTGTTTCCACCAATTGTGAGACCTGCCAAACAAAGAGCAAAATGCATTTTGTTCATTATTGATTGTGAAAAAGAAAATGTTTGATCGAAACGGTAGTGATTTTTTATGTCGTTTGACTTACAGAGTTTGAAAAATGCACCCATTGACGATCGGCATCGATGACACCGCCGTTATTTAAGAACATGTTACTACTTTTATTCATGTCGCCTCCGACACTATTGCTAGCATTTAGATTTACATTTGAACCGATACTGCATTTCAATCGATGTTGTTCAACCGAACCGCTATTGTTCTGTGTGTTCTGTCGAAGGAAAAATGAATGGAATGAATTAATTGGGGCAAAGTATAGGAATCAAATAAAATTAGGCCATTGCATCCGCAGGATCAATTTGCTTTGAAATCGTACCTTCCATATATCGGCAATGTCTTGCTGTGAAGCATTCAAATCGTTGATTTCCATGCACATGACCAAAAATTTGTCCTTATTCAATAATAATGTCACATTTGGTCCAGATTGTAGAACAACGCTGATGGTGGTACTGCTGCCCGGTGTTAAAATACCAGTACTTGGTCGTACACGAAACTTTTCCGGTGACGTTGTCTTTATCTGTTAAATGTAAACCACAAATCAAACATGTAATCAGTCAAGAGCTTAGCGGTGGATATGCAATTGCAAAATGGTTCTCTCTTTTTTTTTTAATAAAGAAGGTCTCGTCATACCTTATAGGTAATTGGAAATTTAACAACATTGAAAATGTCAACGGTCCCAATAAGTTCACTGCCCACTTTGGCGAATGTGATGATTTCGGCAGGTGCTATTTTCAACATATTACCTACACAATGCGCAATAAACAAAAAAATAAAGAGAAAACAGAACGAAACATAAGAAATTAACGAACAAAATTCAGGCAATCATTTTTTTCTTCTTCTTCTTCTTCTTTCACGACGCATTTATATATAACTTACTTCCAGTATTTTCGATGTTTTTGCCACCGTAGCCAAATGATTGATCCGACATTGGAATCTCGTTCACCGAACTTGTTTTCGCAAAATGTACCTAGATGCGTGAAATTCAAAAGTGCCATCAGAATTTATTTATGTTAAACAAAAAACCGAAAATTAACTCATTTTCACTCAAATTTCTTGATTCTTGTCGTTTTGTTTTGATATTTTTTTTCCCTTTCGTTTGCAAATTGTTTATGGAATTAACCTATGGACTTTTGATTTGGATCAGAATTTTTTATTAGTGTTGTTGAGTTGTGTTTAAACTCAACGTTGTGCGTTTAAAATTACTCTCAGTTTTAATCGCTCGATTGAACTTGGTTGAAACAAAAGTATGACCTTGACCGTAAAATGACACGAACACGTACATCAGTTTGTATTTATCGGACACGAGAAAAATCAAGATGAAGAAAATTAGTGGGCTAAAAGTGTCGATTTTATTTTGGGGTCGATATGTAAATGCTGTTGCTTGTGCAACGCCATGAATTGAGTCGAATGAGAGAAGCGACAAAACATTTTTGTGGTGCGAATTATCGCCAACTAATCTCATTAGCTCCACATATATATTCACACATTCACGAAAATGTAGAACAAATAATATGTCCGGTCGTGGGTTATTTTTCGTTGTTTCTCGCCAACTATTTCGATGTAATACAATTCGGCTTGCGATTGAAATCGATCAATTCGCTGTATGAACACAGTTTTGATAATAAATTGAATTTATGGTCGAATGGATTTATTTTTCTGCCTTTTCTGGGCCTACAACACATCATTGCTTTCGTTGCAACTAAACAGATGCAAAACAGTTTCTGCATTTTTTTCTTCTTTCAATAAAATTTTAAAGAAAACAAAGACATTAAGTAATGAATAATTTGTACGTTTCGACCGGATAATCATTTGAAATGTTTGCAATTCTTCTATTACTCGTTGTTTTGGTCAATGAATTAATTCACTTGTACGTCACATGAACGAATCAACGAACCAACGAAAAAATATTACTCACAAACACGCAAAACAATAACAGAAAAGTGAGCAATATATGACTGTATAGCTATACTTGTAGTTTAATTGGATATTTATCGCTTGTACATCCTTTCTTATTTTATTTGTTCTTCCAAACCATTATGCATATATAATCTTTTGATAACTTAAATCGATTGAATTTATTTAGTAGCTATAGTAAATGAGATACCTTCGTTTCAACCAAACGAAATTTTAATGGAAAATCTGCACCAAGAATCCGAATAAATTAACTAATACGCGATACGAGAGAGAGAGCACTAAATCGTCAACTACAAAAAGAAAAGGTGAAACAAACGCAAATGCTCGCTTGACTTTTGCTCATGCATTGACAACGAATTTTCAGTTGGGATACATAGAGGCGCGCGTATGCACATACAACTGAACGAAGTGTGTGCAAAATCGGGTCAATGTATTGGTGAGCGTTGCTTCGAATGTGTCTATTATTATTTTTATACTTTTTTTTCGTTTGGTCGTTCTTTCGTATGTGTGTGTGCGTGTGTGTGTGTGTGTGTGTGTGTGTGTGTGTTTGTAAATATTGAGTTCGATTGAAGGGAACTGAGATGCTTGCCGTCTTTTGCCGTTTTGCATATCTGTGCGAGTTTTTCGGTCGTGCGCTCTCGTGTATGTATGTGTGATGAAAAAAAAAACAACAACAGACAAACAGACAGAGAAAGATAATTTTCATTCACTCTGCTCACCACTGGTGTAGTGGATCGGTGAGCACTGTTCATCTGTATACTTTGTAACGCAAGTTCGATTCTCGTATTGTTTCAATTGAAAGTAAAAACGTTTGGAATTTGAATTCAGCAGAGCAATGGAGACGATACAAGAAGTTGCACAAATCGAAACAACACCAATTCAAATAACAAAAACAACAACAACAAAAACGCGCTAACCGTCACAAATGTGAATGTACTGTATAATTATTAAATATGGAATTTATAGAAGAAGAAAAAGAATGCATTTACAATGACCGTTGAGAGAATTATTCAAATATCTTTTTTTCATACAATGTTCAATTGGCCGGTTTTTATATTATATACCGTGATTCACCATGGAATATTACAGCATATTAATAAACATTGAGAATAACTTGAAAAATACTTGTTGAATTTTTAGCTTATAAATGTTTTCTGTCTTCGCCAGAGAATGATGTTAGCGTCTTTCTCTTTGTTGTCACGGTTAAGTCAGCCAAATCATTTCATCATTTCCATTTACGCTACCAATTTTTTTTACATATTCGGCATACAAGTGAAAGTCAATCGTGTACTTTTTTGACATAGTTTTATCCATCGAAATAAAAAAAATCCAAACCGATTCCATCTACCATTTTCTCGGCATACAATCGAAATCATACTTAAAACAATCTCTCTCTTTCTCTCACACCAAAGTTGATCTCTATATTTGAATCGCTTTTGAAATTCAATTCAATTCAAATCATTTATATTCGTTTGTATAATACTTTATTTAGGTTTTAGCTGTCTGGTCTATAAATAAATCCGAAATTCGCGTTTTTTTTCTGGTCAAATCAATACATACTTTAGTCATATTCACCGACTGCACTGCTTAATTTTTGTCACTTTGAATAATATTTTCTTTTCTTGACTATTCTAAACTGAACAATTCTACAATGAAAAAAAAAACCGATGCGTCAATTATATATTGGATACTTCATTTCAGTGAGACAGTAATGGCACAATTAAAAAAATTGCTTATTGATCGATCCAAGTATTCAATTTTTATAGGCGTAATTATAGCAGTTGGAAAATTCCATATAGAAAAAAATCTATATTTTGGAAAATTGATGCGAGAAAACCAATGGTTCGGTCAAATGGAACATTGGTGAAGAACTGAAACTGGGAGAATATATTCGAACGATATAGTCTAAACCATTGTTTGTAGTTCAAAATTTCGTATAATACTCCGTATGGACGTGTGTGCTCAGTAGGCAGTGCGTTGATTTAAGCGTGCGTCAAATAGACACACAGAAAAAAAAGAAGTTGGCCAACGGATTTTTATGCCGATTAAAAATGATACGTTATACACTACTGACCGAGATAGTGTGAATTCAATAGTGAACTGCAATTTGCACCTAATTTGAACGACGAATACTATGAAAAGAGAAATAAATGCATTAAAATGGGTAGACAAAACGAACGAAGCGATAGTCTGTGACTGCTTCGATGGGGGGGGGGGACAGAGTATACAATGGGGCGACCATATTTAGTGACATTCAATCTCCGCTTTATTGAAAATTTCATCAATTTATTGATGATTCGGTGCTCTATTTACTTTATAGAGTTCGGCCGGTTTGGCTAGGCATTTGGAAGCTTTAATCGCCAACTGGGCTGAAATATTTGCGAATGTATTTCCCGCGTGCAGGCACATAAACACATTAGCGACACTATAAACGTCGCTTTTGCTGGCACACACATAATTATTAATTAGTGTGAGACATATAATTCGTTTTATGTACATTTCGCACGCAGCCAATATTTATCGTTAAAAATTAAGCCCATGTTGTTCAATCAAATGAAATCGAAGTGCTTTTCATTTTTTATTGTCTTTGGATGTCAGTCTGAATAGATTTAGACAAAAAAAAAGGAGACAGGAGACCCGAATGGATGTGATAAGGTCGATACGCAACGGTAGCCGGGGCACACCTAATAACAGCTAGATATTATTAGTAGAAAAAACCTGAAATTGAATACACACTTTAAGGTCAAGGAAAAGGTGAGAGCGTTTGTGTTTTACGATAAAGGAAATACGACACGAATATATTGACGTCAATCATCGACGACAGTGAAAGACTAAATATTGACAAATATTCCAATTTTAGCAATAAAAACCATGCACCATTGTGCCTTTTACGTATAAATGCTTGGTTCATTGTTTGGGATGAGGTGTTTTTATCCGAAATTAAAATTCATTTTATATCGTCGACGTCGTCATCGTTACAACGAAGCCTTTATCCACTAATTGGATTTTGATGGAGCCTACAGACGAGCGAATAATGCGTATACCATAATCCTAAAAACGATAATGACCAATAAAACGTGCTTGATGTGGCTAGACATTCGATTTTCGGTTAAAATCAAACCGACTCGGCCCAAATATTCATTCTGTTTACGCAAAATGGGCGAAAAAAAACACACAGAGAAAACATCAGAATCGCTGTGAATCGTAGTCTCCTTTGCTTAATAGCACATTGTGTAGTTGGTGTTATTATTCATCGCGTCATGTACACAATGCAAATATACAAACGAAATATCATTGTCATTGATTTACATCGTTAATTCTGTGCTCGGCCGATGACGAGGTGAAAAAGTGTATGTTTAAAATTAAAACAAATGACTTCAAATGAAAACATTGATTCATTCAAACGAACACCGCTGTTGACTGTTTACATTTTAATTTTTGTCGTCTAGAATGATTAGTGGTCGTCGTTTGTTGTTGGTTATTGTATACTTTAAACAAGTATTCACATGGAGTGCGAATATTGTCGTTTTTTTCCTTATAATTCTTTAAGTAAAAAAAAATTATATTCAGTCGCTTGGAATTGAGCGATAAAAAGCTCATCAGTTACATTACACAGATGAATCGTATGTGAAAATCCAAACACCGACATATGTACTGCCTAATCGTATGTAGCGGAAGCAAAGCAATCTGATTTACCAACCTTTTTGTCATGATTCACGACCACCGTATTGTTATCATTTTCGTCTTTTGTCATGATTATCCCCTTTTGACCATTTAAGCCGTCGTTATTCAATCCATTTGCGTGTATTTTCGACGGTTCAAACCTATAGCGATAATCATCTTTGCCGCCCCAGCAAGTCAACATGTTGTCTTCGGTAATGTATTCGCCTAAATTCTTCGAAGTAACGAAGCGTAGTGAAGCAACGGCTTTAGGTGGTAATAATGCTTTTATTATATTAAAAGCGGCTGAAATTAAATGAACCCAAAAAAAAGACGAAATAATCGTGGTGTTTTATCAGCAAACAAGCGATCAATGTCAGTATTTACCGGTTAAAATCCACGGTAATTCGTACACAAAGATGTAATTCAAGTTGTTTGGGTAATAGAATTTTAAAAGATGTACAATTTGCTTCGTATAATCCAAATCCAAGTTTTTCAATCCGGTACCAGCCAAGTCAAAAAATATCGATATCGTTCCGTAATTTTCCTCCCTACAATGATTGAGATACAATGCTTTTTATTCTTATTCTGTTCATACATTACGGATTCAATGCTTACCTGTTCAATCTTTCTATCCAGTAGATGAAATTGCGTATCAGTTGGTCGGTGTCTCGAAGCCCTCGAACGTGTAACTTGGATTTGAGCACCAGTAATACTTTGCCATCGATATCACGATTACGTGGAAACATTAAACCCTCATTTATATACTCCATATTGATGTTGTCCTCTGAAATCTCTGTAAATGTCAAACACACACACACACACAAACAATCAAAAGAAATCCAAGTGCATTTTTCATCAGAGCAGCAAAGACACTTAATCAAGTGCTAACATTCCAATTGGAATGATCTGCATGCAAAGCATGCACTATGAATACAAAATCAGTTTTCATAGTAGAAAACAATAAGACGTATTCAACGAGATATCGTTGATACAGTACAGAACAAACAGCAGTTCTCAATTGCTGTGTAGCACTTAACAATGTATAGAACTAATTATTCGTCATATTTTGTTTGCGTGTTGAAAATGATTTCCTTAATTTGGAACATACCATTTGTGCCGTAGGTTTTTCGCCATTCGCATGTCTCCCACAGCATGCTGAGTGATGCTTTGATGTCGGTGTCATGTTGTTCAAGGAATCTCTGCAACCAGATGTCAGTGGATTTAATTCGCTCAATATCTTTCGGATGAAAGCCGCCTAGTTGAAGAGAAAAATGGAAAACAAAAATTGGTGTTTTTTTTGGGTATCGTTTTGGTGCAGTGGAAAAGTCCCAATTGCTTTTGGCTATAGTTTAGGAAAATTTAAGCCACTCGGAGGAATTGTATTTATTAACTTCATACTTTTGACCAGTTTGAAATCTGGAAATGTTCTCAATTAATTGTGATTAATTGGATTACTTTGAATTTGTCATAGAGATGTACATTGTCTGTACAAGTCTAATGGGCGAATGGAACTGGTATTATAACTTGGCTACGATAAGTGATTACTCGTCTATCCATTTAGAATCCAGAAAATTCGGATTACCGGAAATGTTATCGTCATAAAACCAATACACATTCGACATACGAATGTCAAAATTGTGAAATTGTCAGTGTTAATTTTAGCGATTTCTTTCTCTCCCATGAAGGTAATTGATAAGCCTTGAAAGAGTCATCGGTTCTTTTGGTGATGTGAATGCCAAGTGCGCGCGATAACATGAAATGAGAAGGGAAACCCAAGAGATAAATCAATGAGCATGCAATGTGCGTATGTCTGTGTGCACTTTGCATTGCAATGAACTACACCGAACAAAATCGGAACAAAAGCCAAGCACATGGTCACGATTCCGGTTGCAATGCATATTAAATCAAGTGATACCAGTGAGTACAGTTGTTTGAAACCAGTTTTATGCACGTTGACGACATGAAAATGAAAATGTCGTCAGTGAAACATGTTACGCACCGTCGTTGTCGGTGAGTCCTTGTTGAATTTTGTGTACTATCGAACGCTCAACAAGTATTTATTTTTGTTTTGTACAATTGGGTAAGGTTCAGTTGTTGTTTTCTGGTTCATACGGTATTGATATAAAGGTCTGTCTCTCTTTGCGTTTTGGTATAGATTTTCAAACGGTACTCTTATATAAAGTCACATAGCGGTTATCAGTAACCAAAAATCAAGTGGTCGAACGTTTGATGAAAACTAAGAAACATCGAGAGAGAGAGAGAGAGAGAGAGAGAGAGAGAGAGAGAACATTGGGACACAAGCAAAAAAAACCAAAGTGTATCAACTCTGATTGGTTAGTACGATGATTGATTGTGAGTGCATCGAATGAATGTCTCTGATAAGAGCAATACAAGACGTTATAAAATCTTCTCATTTCAAACACACTCTATGCTTCTTTTTCCAATCTAAGCATGTACACGAAGCACGGCTGCGGTTACATGCAACGCGTCGACAGAACGAAGAAGAAGAAGAAGAAAAACAGAAACAACGAGCCAGACATAATAATCAAATAAAACCAAAAAAAAAAATTATGAATAAAAAGATGACCTTGAATCCAATGAAAATAAATGCGCGAGTTGTCATCACATATTATTTTTAAGTGGTGAACATTTTAACGTGTGAATTCATCCAGCAAGAGATGCGATTACAACATTGCTTACACACAACGATTGACTATGTACATTGTACACCGCGCACGTCTTTGGTCTGAAGGTGGAATGAGCACGTTGTTTTGCGCTTTGCATGGAACTGAAACAAACTTGAACTGATTTCAGTTTCTTCGAATGAATGAAGCAAAAAAAAAAAAAAATAAATGAAGACTCACTCCGTGTTAGGTCAAAAGTAAATTAGCAGAAACAAGAAAATAACGAAATTTAACTCAAAATTGTCTAAAATAAAAACGCTTACCTTCACATGGAGCTCCGTCACGATCGAGTCGTTCAAAAAATGCCGCTCGTAATTCTTCAATTTGAGCGATTGTCGGCGTAAGAATTGTTGCTTTCGGCTGCATGGTTTCGCTGTTATTGTGATTTGTCGATTGAATGGCAGCTGAATCTAACTCGTTATCCAAAATGTCAGAGATATTTCACTGAACTCTTAATTAAATCTTAATTAATTATTTATTGTATTTAATTGTGTCTAACTAATTCAATTTAATTGAATCTAACGAATAACAATACACAGTGTGAACACAACACTTTATCTGCACCAATCTGCACCAAAGCGACAAGTGTTTTTGAGAAATTCGATGAATAAGAATACACTTTGATCGAGCAATCGTGTGCTATCGCACGTTATTTCGAAATCAGTCGCTTCACTCACTTCAAGAATACGCACTAATACAATCCGATTCGATTGTAACGATAACACGACTGAGTCCGAAAAAAAATACCGTTTTTTATTCTCTTCTGATTGTTCGTACTTAAACTTAGAAATCAGTCGATATAGTCAATGCACGAACTCGTGTCCGATCAACTAATATTGATCAATCGGGTCAAGCCAATTATATGTATCTCTTGTTCAACAACGATTTTTCCTTCAACTTTGGGTGTGCGTATCTTTTGAAAAACTGTTTCAATTCACTACAGTTCCTTGCATTCAAATTTTTGCCACTAATATCCGTTTTAATTTTTGTGCATGAGTGTGTCTCTTGCTCGTGCGCGTGTATCCAATCTCTTTGAAGTTAATTACAAAAATGTTTTCTAGTTACAACCGACCGAAGAATGAAACATAAAAAAAAATGAATTTAAAATACACACAGAGAGCAAATGTTTGAATAGCGAGACCCGCCGTTTTGACATCAATGAAGTTGAATGCAAAATGCTCAAAGATTTACATAGATCACAGACATATATATGTATAAACCCCGAAAAGTACTATTGCGGTAAATAGTCACTGTAACACTACTAACTTTGAACACAACAAATCATTCGCAATGAAAACAATAAAATGTATGTATATACATACATTCGTATGGGCACAACTACAACAAAAACATCAACAGCACTGTACAGCACACAGTACACATCGGCTATGTGCCACAGTCTAAACGGTGGTTTAAACGAGAAAAAAAAATAATAAAACTACTACATCGTCTTTCCTCTTCTCATTTTTCGTTTGTTTCTTACTCTCATCGGTACGCACAATATCACTTATTCGCTTTTCCTGCGGTCGCTCTTCTCATTTATTTTTGTGCGGCCGTTCATGTTACATGATGCTTTTGCGCTCGGGCGACACTTGTGTTAGTGCGTGAACGATCTGCTGCTGCTACTGCTACTACTCGGCTGATGAATGAACGAACGAACGAACGAACGAACAAAAATACATCCAAAAAGTATACATTTTGTTTTTCATTTTTCATTTCGTCTTCAACAATATTTTACTTTTGACGTATTCGCAGCTGTTTACAGTTGAATTAGATAATCTTTTGACAACTTTCAACTAGACTTTCAATGTGGGCTGTGTGTTAAGTTGTCATGCAGTTTTTCATAGTTATTGTTATTGTATGCGCGTGAGCTGAAACGAAATACATTGACGCGATGAACTTATTTCGGTTGGTCATTCGACATGGCAATTTGAATCAGTCGAATAATTTGAATTAATGTATGTTACAAGAATAATGAGTGGAACTGCACGCCAATAGCCGTATTAGTGAATACATTTGCAATCAACCGTCACCGTCAAACATGTGCTAGTTTTGTTTGTTTTGTTTCGCTTGTTTCGCCTCTTTATTCAGCTTGTGTTTCTCTGTCTTTGTCTCAGTCTTTCGCTCTCTCGCTCTCTGTTGACTTTCCCATGTGAATTACATTGTGGTCGAAAAAACGTGTTTCTTTTCGCACTCTAATCGATTATAGTTTAGCAGACCAACTTCAAATGCTCGTACTGGTAACTTAGTACTGGAACTGGAACAAGCACTCTTGATTTCAATGTTGAATTCTTGTAACGCACTTCTTTTTGTTGTTTTTTGTTGTTGGCCGAGTGTGTATGTGTATATGCATAGACTACCGTTTGAAACGATCAAATGTGTACGATCGGCAATTGTAAAATTGGTCAATTCGATGGGGTGGAGGGGAAGGGATCTAATAACGTCCACTTGTTCTTATTTGAAAATAATTATTCATTGCATTGCATTTATTTATATTCACAGATTCAATAATAATGTTTTTATTTCATGGTTTTAAATATGCCTCTCTCATTCAATCTCATCGATCGATTCACCCTGGAATAGTATCCGTAATTCACTCTTCTTTTTAGCCAAGCCTTTTGTCTTGGGTCGCCGATGTACAACGCCATTCTCCTCATCCATCATTCGTATGATTGTAATCTGAAATTCAAACAATTCAATTCAATTTCACGTTGTGGCTGTTTTTTTTTTGTTTTTCTTCCATGTAACATTTAAATAACTTTTTGTTGTCTGTTTCTAATTGTCATATACCAGAACATTCCATATTTACACGTTTTCAATTTTGTAACGACACAATATTGGAGTATGCATTTAACTCACCTGATCGGAACAATCCATTGGTGCCACGGATATATCTCTCACAGCTCGGAATTTACCACAGTTATTCAAGTGTTCATTTTCTAATCGAAAATAGTTCCAAATAAAGCGTCGAAACACCTCAAACGGACTTAGAATCGTCATCATTAGTTCGCCTTCAATGTAGCCGGCCTTTACAAGGGACATCGACAATGTCCATCCGAATCGCAGTATCAGGTCTTCGACCATGCCAAAATAGTAGAATAACTGGCAAACAAAACGATATATAATTAAATCCAAAGTGAAATTGTATGCGCCGACAAAATTGCATTCCAGCCAACAATGTATGTGTATCTTTTCAAAGAGTCAACAGTACAGATAACTCGGAAAATGCAATTGAAAAACTAATCCGGCATTGGAAAGATGATTGTACTTGAGTGTGACCTACATTTGATGAATACACTGTTTCCTCTCGCAGGAACTTGTTGTCGCCCGACTTCATTTCAAGCAAACCCCAATCCATTTTGATGTCCCATGCATATGCGTAGCAAGATGAAACAATCGACGCAATTATCCATAAATAAAAGTACGGATTATTCACATTGCCTAAATGCGATCCTAAATGTGCAAATACAAAAGGTTGAACAAATTAATTGAATTTCTTATCTATGGCAATGGGCATGCATGCGATTATTATTTATGAGGCAAAGCGCACACTGTGCATAGCACATGCATACACACACACACACTTACCCGTCACAAATGACAACGATGAGAATATAACAACGAAAAATGATGTGGAATATTTCAGTGCATTTGCCAAATGTGGTAATGCTTCACGTGTATCTCGATAACGGCGAATGCATTGTGCAAATCGAAACCAAGCTGGCAACATTGCCACCATCGGTCGAATCAAATACGAACCCTCGACACAAGATTCAACCTCTGCAAAATGAATTCGACAAACACATTAGATTATTTCAGTTCGAATGCAATTTGTGCGATTGAAGATCGGTTTCGGAAATTACCTTCGGCGGATGCCGTTTCCCAATTTGGATTATTGTAATAGAAACATATTAAAAATTGTAAATCTAAAAAGGCGGGTACAATACTGTTCAATTGGTCTGCAACGAAAAAATCGGCAAAGCTGACATAGTAAAATGGTGCCAAAAATATGCGCCACAATACACGAATCGTCCAAAAGCGGGCTTCGTGTCGAAATGTTTTGGTTGGATTGAATAAAAACAATGCCATTAATATGTACAGTGTCAATGGGCTTGCGTATGTTGGTATCGAAAGTGCATCACTGTACTGAAAACTGAGAACACATATCGTCCAAATGACACCGAAACATGCACCAAATTCCATAATATGTTGCTCGGATAAATGATTTCTTGGATCGATTTCGAATATCAAAACGTGATTAACACCTGGCGAACAAATGAAGAGAGAAAAGAAATCACATTCAAATTAAATTAAACGCACGCAAAAACTGAAGAAGACTGATTGAAAATACAAACCTGCTGATCTCCATCCGTGTACATTAACACCCCATAAGAATAGAAAACCGATAATTAACAATGGTCCACGAAACAATCGAATACCGATTTCCCAGTCTTTGTTCGAATGGAATATGCCCGTTAAAATGACGGTCACCATCAATACGATAAAGGCACCCGAAAAAATTCCAACTTTAAATGTGATCCATGGGCTTTGTTGCTCATTTAACGGAGGCACTCGTAATCTTTTCATCGCCTTTTGTCGATCACCACCTTCGATGTCTTGCGTTACTATGGATTCGGTGTCATGGATGAGCCGATCAATGTCTTTGTTCACATGGAAATGACCCACTTCGACATGATCCATTCGCCATTTTGCTCCTAAATCAACGTTCAACAGTTTGTCATGCTTTTTCAAAATTTTCCGGAATCCAGTAAAATTCAATGTTTGATAGTTTTGTAGTAAAATCAATCCCAGATAAAATTCACTGAATGCCAACTTCAACTCTTGTACTTTTCGCGCTGGTTTGGTTTTCTTGCGCAGCAATTTTTTTGATCGTGACAACGACTTTTTCGAATTCAATTGACTATCTTCCAGCGCTTCACTCAATTCGGTGCGTAAATTGGCAAATTTTCTAGTGGCTTCCGCTAATTTTTCTGCAAGGGAGAAATCGAAAGAAATTAGTATATGGATTTTCTTTTTGAAGCGAGTAAGTTTGGTGAACCAACCTGAATAAAATGTGTTGATTTTCGCTAATTCCTTGTCACAATAATGGAAGAATTGTTCGTCGAATGTGGCAAAGTATCGGGTTAAAAAGTCGGGCTCAATCAATTCAGCCGATGGTGCCTGCTCTATGGCACTGTACAGCATTATTTTCATTTCCTATTTTAGAAATAAAACGACAAAAACGGACATTTAAAATCATTTCCAATCATATATTTTAGTGGGAAAATGGTTTTGGTATCTAATGTTTATGTTTTCTTTCAATATTTTATCGATTTTTCCAAGAATACGTTCCAATGGTGAACATTTGATTCGCAACAAAATATCTCACTGCTGATGTGAGCAAAGCGATTTTCTTCGTCAAAATTTCAATAAATTTTTCGTCATTCTGGTATTCTCAACTCAACAAACGCCGTAAATTAGTCTTCACATACTTTGCTCATGAAACGCCGCTCGTAATTTTTAAAAGTTGTTGATTCACTAATTTATCAGTTTGAAACGTTGCATGTTCTGTTTCATGCTTCATTTCAACGAGATAAGATTCATTGTTGTATGTAGAATTGGCTGATTTGCTTATTTCAGAAAATGAAAAAAAAAAAATTAAAACAGCAAATGTCGAAACATGCAAAACAAAAAGCGAAATTAATCAGTGGAAATAAAATTTGAAACAGCCCGCGCGATAAATGTGATGTCATCAAAACAAAAAACATATGAGTTGTGGCGCACGCGCTCTTGGGCCTCATACTGCTAGTGACATCCATGAAACTTTCTATAGCTGACAACCATAATCGTCAGAAGAGTTTGATATTAATTAAATTTTCTTGATTTGTTTTCTGTATCCTTAATCTTCAATGTAAAAACAAAAAAAAAACACAAACGACAACAATGCGACTGTTCATTTACCTCATAGTTGATGTACGCAGCACGCCATTCAGGTGTAATATGTGCTGATAAATGTTCTGCGAACTTCATGGTTTACTTATTATATTGGTTGACAACAGGTTTGTTGAAACAAACAGAATAACAGAAAGAAAAAATAACTAAAACAGAGAATAAAGAACGAAAAGGGAGATGCAGTTGAATGAAAAAGTCACTTGATTATTTTGTTGTCGTCGTCTTTGATGTATGTATGATTTCTAATGGATTTTTATGTTTTATTATTATTCAATACGGACTCAAGTGTGATGCACTCAAATAAATTCTATGAACACCACATATTTAGATAGATACACAGAGAGTGGAATACACGCGCGCACACACACACACTCACACAATACAGAGACGATGTGGAAATGGCGATGTTTTCGTGACGACCGCATCGCTCTAACTAAAGCAAACAAGCATTTTCCATTTGATTGATAAACAGGCAATTCACAGAGCGACACGACGCTCTATACACGATAACCAACACGACGCACATACAGCGTGTAGACATTTAAAGACATTTTGAACTTCGCACAGCGTGTGCAGTGTGCTTATGTTGTGTATTTTGTATTCCTAAAAATAGATGACTCCTTGTTACAACTTTCACGGCGACGTCGTCGTGTGTATATTTATTATTACCTTGTTGTATTCAAGCGCTCAAATTAAATGGAATAAACTGACCGTTTCTGGGTCAAACAAATGAATATTTTATTATTGGATTTATTTCCTTTTTTTCTTGCTTTTCTATTCTCACTTTCTCTCTCTCCCTCCTCTATTTCTCTCCGTGTGTTTTTGTATACAACTTGTTATTTGTTAGAAATTCTCCTTGGTTTTTTCCATCAAAAATTAACTCGTGTTCTTTTAATTCTGAAAAAAATGTTCAATTGTACTGACTACAAACATTTACAATACCGCGTCCAATTAAAAAGCGTTGACATTTCATGGATTGATATGCATTGTTTTGAAATTTACCGGATGCTTCATGAGTACCATATTTTAATTGGCATTTGCCTATTGAAGAAAACTTAGCTTACCACCGTGTATGCAAATGAAATATTGAATTCGCAGAACTTTTAACCGTCATGTTGTTCATATTTAAGGCTATTATTCTGATGTTGAAGTTTGAATTACGAAGAGCCAGTGGTCTAGGTAACGAACGCAAGAGGGATAAAAATGTAAAGAAATGACCCAATTTCTAGTGTTATAAATGTTTTCAGTTTTCGAATATCATATTTTATCGTACCTAGATTTTCGTTCTTCCTTTTTCTGTGAAAATTTTAAGTTGGTCAAAAACAATCAAAACACTATGAACAATTCAAGACTAGCCGGTATAGTTCATTGAATTGCAAAAATGCGTCAAGGTGTGATTCTCGGTATTCTCTTAATTTGTGTTTCCGAATACTAGATAAAACGTGCCATAGGAGCCATCGTCAAGGGTTGATCAGAACAAAAAATTCTTTTTTAAATTCATTTCTGCGTTTTGAAATATTTGTCATTAATTGCATATGGCTTCGACGTTATTTGCTTACCTTTCCAGTTGTTGGAGTTCTTATTCATTTCCACTTCTGAAAAAACATTTCGAAACCATTCAATTTATTTTGTGCTCATAAATAAAAACGGGACGTTTTTTTCGGTATTTAAATAGTATTTTCTCTCTTTATTTAATTTTTGTTCGTTTGTTTGCTAGCCAGTTCCTCTTATAAAGAAATTCGGATACAAAATAAGAAAATAGATATAATTTGTTGTACAGATCGTGGTTGAATTACAAAATCTTTATTTTTCTATAAAATTTTCAGTCACACTTAGTAATCCATTCGATTCGCAATCAATATTAGTCGTCCTCGTTAACCGAACCAATACACTTTTGTTGTTCGTAATGTTCGGGAATTGTTTCGTTTTTAGACATCGTACATAAATTTTAACGTATTGAGAATCCTTTCTCGCTCAACTGTTCCCATTGATTTTCGGTGTCAATCTGTTTGCTTGCGGTGAAGTACACCGATATAAATAATATATAAAAATAAATTAATAATTAGTTTGAGATTGGGTTTTTTCTCTCTCACAAAATACAACGCATCATTTCAAATACGAGTGGGTCATTTTGTTTTCCATCATCATCATCATCATCATCGCAAACCAATCGCCGACGAGTGAGTGGAAGTTCTCTACCCACTGGTAATAATGGCACAATCGATGCCGCACAATTTGTTGTCGTCGCCAACAAATTCGTTTGAATTACTTAGATATTTGTTAATATTGCAGTGTGTTCACAGTTGGCGGAGAATCAACTGGACCGGGACCATTGCCATTGGAGTCGGTAATACACAAGATTTCATCTTCTTCTTCGAAACATTTAAAGTCTTCGGGGAATTGAACGTGTTTCTTTAGCATGTTAGATGAACGTCTTCGGCCAATCGGTGATATATTTGGAACAGGACCTTTTAACACCAAAACAAATCCATTTTACTCTAACTAAAACCAATCAGTCTTCATTCGTTTTATATATGCTTTATTGGATGGAAAAGCGTTTGCTTGTTCCCCCCAAAACGAAGCACTTGACCATCAAGTGGCATGCTGTAACTAGAGCTCTTTGATTTTCAAGTATTTTCAGCAGCATCTACTTGTAAGCATATAATAGGTAATTGAATGCATATTTCTATGGATGAGATTGAGGGGAGTTTATGTTTTTTCCGACTTAGTCCAAATGGAATTTGGAGAGTGTGTTTCATGCGTAGTTTTCTTTTACGATTTACATTTTAATGATAAGAGATAACGAATTGATGTCCTGTCAAAGTAGGAATTGTCTTGTGACAAGATCCCTTGTCAAACTCAATAAGTTTGTGAGAGGCTTTAATTCCGTGAAAATCAAAACAAATAATTTATTTCAAGATTCATTAACCGTTCGAACGCATGTTCTTCTTTCTCCGATTCAAAGCTCAACAAACATACTATCCACTCAAACTCACCCATAAATTTTGATATCCCCATGTTTACCATAGAAACAAAGTGGGAGAGACGGAGACAGTACAACTACCGCACTCGAGTTTTCTCTTCGGAATTTGTGTAATAAAATTAGTGCTCACAACTTACTTGCTTTTATGTTCGTCGAATTGGCGTAGAAAATTGATTTGGCCAGCGTTTGACTTTTCGTTATCAATTTGTCATTGTTGTTATGGGGCTGATTTTGATAATTAGGTGTCAATGTTTGAGGTGCCTGTAATGAAATCGAAAACCCCGACAAAAAAAAACGAGATTAATTTAGATCAATGGAAAAATGTCAACTAGATTTCCACCACACATACTTTAAGCTCTGATTCGACGTGCACCCGTCGATCACAACCACGGCCTGCTTTGTATTCTTGATATTGTGATATTATGCAGAGGAGACAGTACATCTAGAATGGGTGTAAGTTTTAACAAAGTTTATTGAGTCATGTATACCAATTACATAGATAGAAGAAAAAATAATGGGATAAGACAAGAAGGAGACACTTTAGCCAAAAACTTAATGTGAATTTATATGTTAAATGAATTCAAAAAAAGAAGACAGAAGAAAGAAACAATTGTTGTTGTTCGGCGTTTTGTTTCAATGCGCCAAATTTATTCTGTCTGGCCGCATATCGAATAGACCTGATCTGTGTGAATAACCTTAGTTTCGTAACTCTCGACAAGCAAATCCCATTACACTTGGACTACATCCAATCAAAAGTTTTCTTTTTTTTCTTTGGTTTGTTGATTTCTTTTTTATTATTGTTACATGAATGTTGCCGCTTAACATATTACGATGATATCCTTTTCGAAGTATCGTCACGAGTTTGTAACTGCGTTACGCAACACGTTTACCAGTGACTTAGACGAGTGGATAAAGTGCTATTCGATGATATTTTCAGCGGAGGGAATAATAAAACGAACATAGTTTGCCTCGAATGAATAATGTTTTTGTGATTTGTGGCGGCAAAATTGGCAATATTAATTGAATTCCACTTTAGTTCGGTTTGAGTTCCATTTTGGCTGGAATGAAATAGTAAAACCATCCAGTATACGGATCGAAGACTTTTATAACCAAGTAATTTGATACCCGGCTACAAATTTATTTCCAACAAGTCCTTATAATTGAATGTCAAACATTCAATTATTTGACCATGTCTCCCTTCCTCCTCCTTTCTCTCTTACGCCCGCGTACAATGATAAAAACTTTACTTACATTGAGACATAACAAGAAGAAGTCAATCGTATACATTATAGCTGTAATCGGTTCGAATTGCAACTGCAAATGAAACAAACAGAGAAGAAGAAAAAATCGTAAAACCGTTTAATAACAAATATTTTGCCATTGAAAAATTCAAAACTAATAACAATAATAATTGCATATTCACTCACCGTATCTATAACTAGAAGATATATAAAATGTACGAATTCAAGCAAAATGTGTAGAACCATGATGATAATCCATGGAACGAGAAAGCTACGTTGGTCCTGAGATAATGACGATGACGGCAGACACACCGAGATGGAATTAATGAAAAAAAAAACTCAGTGATTTATTTTTTTCTCGTCACTTTGGCAAACAAAATGTTTTTCCATAATAAATTTGTCGGTATAATAGTTGATTGATGAGCATCATCATGATGACCATTCAAAATCGCAGTGTGGGCACAAGAGCATTCATATTCCAAGTTACTTATACAGCTACTGTAAGCTATACTATATTTTTTTCTGTTCGATTTGCATACGTCCTTTGTTGTCATTGCATCAAAGTGGAGATGAAAGAAGTTTTGCATTTTTGTTTTTTCCAAACTTTCGATTCGTTTCTTTTTTTTCTAGTCCTGTCTTCGTTGTTTGTTTTTTTTTTGACAAGAAAATGAAGAAAATCGAAGATAAAGAAAAAGAACATGTCACATAGCGTGGCAAAACACATGTATACGCATTGGACGAAGAGAACAACTTTCATTGCCAATGAACCATATCCAATAGATTGAATTCAAAACCAACTTGATATTTATGAAGATTGATATGAATCGGTTGCTATCCGGTAGCGCAATGCTCACTTATTATCATTTTACAAAACGCGTATATTGCTTGAATTACTTTCTTAAACGTGTGCTCTACTTCACTGTTTGTGTCTTGTGCATTCTGTGTTTTCTTTCTTCTTGTTGTCATTTGGCTTGGATGTTTTACGCGTGAGCGGGTGAGCAAATGATGGGAAAGACGTCTCTCTACTACCTTTAGAGTAAAAAATGTATGTAAAATGAAAGAATCGAGCGAACGATTCATCTTATTTCCATAATATCGAATATTGGCACCTAGTGTCACCGACCGATACCAGTATAAAAAGCTTAGCAAAAAATGTGTCTCGTTTAGCATGCGAATGGAGAAAAAAAACGAATTATTTCCCAAAATATGCAGTCAACGACAAGGCATTGAGCATGAAAATCAATGACATCCAATTTTTAAGAAATCAATGGCGGTCTTCATTTTGACATCGACATCCGGAGACTTTTTCAATTCGAACCATCAACTGCCTGTTACTTCTGTGTAATTTCGTCAAAATCACCAACATCCCGAAAAAACTTCGACAACGTCGTTTGACACACGACACGAAACAGTCGGCATGCTTCTATGCTTCTCATCGTGTGTGCAAATGAAATATTGTCGAATTACCAAATCCGAAAAATGCCTCCTCCATCTCATCTCTTCACACAGACGTTCAAAATACCAAGTCATTTTAAGTAAAATGTCGTAGACGCAGGAATAAAAAAAAACAGAAAATCTAATGTAATACTTACCATTGCCAAACCATAGAAGACTAGCATGCACGCAATTACGCCACATGCTGAGCAGGAAAATAGAAGTATGCTAAATATCACAGATGCTGAAAAATAAATTTTGGAGAAAACATAGAAAAGGAAATACATAATCGGATTAACTTCTGGGAGAATGATCCTGCTTTTCCTGATAATCACTGTAATATATACAAAGCCAGCATACATATTGTATGATGGAAAAGCTACTCAATTTAGGAAAAATGTATATTCGCTAATAATAATTTAATTGGAATCTTTGTGTATTCATCGGTAACCATCGGTAACCATCGATTACGTCAGTTGATCTAATCTAGTAAGTTTTTTTTTCCTTCGAATTATTGAATGTTCAAGAATCATTTTGAAACTTACAATAAGAAACTTTTTCGCGCTCTAAAAAACTCATGCCCTTTGGTGTATCCACATTTCCAGCTATGTAGTCCCGTTCCATGTACAGATAGCTGCCTTGCATTATGAAAATGCTTCCATAGTAAAACTGAAAATGAACATACAAATTGACTTGTTAATGCATCGCCGGGCAAATGACTGCAAATGACTGGAGTTTCGCTTGTCGGCATCATTCCATGTTTTCAATTGTTCTCAATATTTTCAATATGTGACTCGCTTAGATGGCTTTCGCTCATCGACACATATATTTGTGTCATATATGACACTTTTAATGATTTGCTTGAGTGGATTGAATGGCTTAAGTCGTCCGCAGACAGTTTTTCGGTCTGTAATCCAAGACCATTAGGACTTTGTTTTGAATTCTGTATGACGTCGGCAAAAGCAAATTCAAAAGCTATGTTCAATAAATTTTACGGCAGAAAGTTTGGTTACGTGGCAACCACGTTCATGCCTTTATTGTAGATACCAGATGTGTGCACGTCTGTTATGTAACGTTTTTACCATAACATTAACCGCTGTTATTGGAATTTGTTAATGCTTTTATTTTTTTTTTAAATCCAACATTAGTCTTCCACCATTTCGTTGTTCTGATAGAATATTATTTGCGATTTGTTCACCGTGTGAATGGTGGTTGAAACTTCCAATTGTGGCAACGTGAATAATATTCACTGAATATGGATAAGAAGTAATTTACACTCGAACTATACTGAACAGAAACTTATCTAGCCATGCGTTATGTGCTTTCCATGAATGGTTCAAGTGAAAGTTTTGTAGAAATGCCGAAGAGTTGCTATCCACACCTCTCTCTCTCTCTCTCTCTCTCTCTCTCTCTTAATTATTTCTAATTATTCAAATTAGAGCATGTAAAATCTCTTCATGGAATTTATTGTATGAAATTTCCCATAAAGTTTCGAAATATGCACAGGAAATCTCGAAATAAACACGCCTCCATGTTTAATATGGAGGAGAGGTAAATGACGAAAAAAACGAAGTTTTTTTGAACTGGATTTATTGCCGCCATGGTTTATTTTTCTGACTGTGCAAAGAAAACTTTGCAGCATAGACGAGATGAGAATGGGACACTCTGGTTATTACCATAGAAAAAAATCATGTTATTTGGTCGATTGAAGTGTGTCATAGGATTTATTGAGACCAAAATGGAAAAATTCGTCGTACTTAATTTACGAAGGCAAGGCCGACGCCGTCAAAAACATTAAGCGATGGAATTGACGTGTTTTTTTCTTCTCGCTTTTTTTTCGCCCTCTCATTCCACTTATGGATTCGATATAAAGAGTAGCCTCGTTTCGACTTTGAAAAGGTAAAATGTGTGGAATATTGAAAGCAGAGTCAAAGCAAAGCTACTAAGATTGTGATCAAGTCTCGAAGAACGGTGCGTGGGAAATGTGTAGTATGTGTCATTTTGAGCTGACTATCAAATATTCCACTATCATATCGTTCAGTCAATCACAACCATTTGGAAATAGTTTTCAGAAATTATTATGCCATTCAATGGGTTTGATGTCAAAAAATCCATTTACTTAAGCACATCAGCAATTTTGTTGTTGTTGTCCTTTATTTTTTATTCACAATCGTATTCGCCGACTGCGTGTGTGTGTATGCAGTGCAGTGCAGCACCAGCAAACGCGCGACACACGCAAATATACCGATATATATATCGATAAGAATTTAAAACAAGTGCCAAATAAAGAAGGAGGAAAAAATTCGAATGCGATAAATGACGATAGCTACTTATTAAAGGTTAATGTTACTGATGCTTCGAACGTTTAAATTGCTTATGCTGCAACCAACCCACCAGCCAGTCAGCATGCACCACAGCTCTCTCTCTCTCTCTCTCACTAATCGCGCTTTCGCAGAAAAAAGAGATTGAACAAGTTGTCGATATGCTCAATACGCGCGCGAGCTTCTGAACTGACTAAATGGCATTCAGGCTAGCTATTTCGTCGAACTTTAGTACTTTAATAGAGTGTAGCCATATTACTCTTAATGTATGGGATATTTTTGGTTATTATGGTTACAATGGTTATTATTTCGAACATTTTTATTGATACTAAAAATCAGCCAGAGTCAAACGAAATTTCGAAAGAAAGAAAGGAATTCTTCAACGGACATATTCTTCTCTTCCATTCATTTAGCGATGTTGTTATGCTTGTTGGCTTTTTTCCATATTGGTTTTATAGTTCGATTTACGCTTTACGCACGCTGAACGACAGACGACGACGATCGACTCGCATAGACATATATTTCATGTCGGTACATCCATTGCGGAGCAATCAAGTTAGAATTCGAACGTCTCGTCTCATGGCAATTTAATCGTATCGTGTAAATCATGGGCCACATCAATTCAGCCAAAGTACGTGTACGAATGAAGCGAAATTCGGTATGTGCTTTATAATGGCACAAGTTCTACGATTACCATTTACTTTCCACTATTGTTGCTGTACTCCATCTCGTAATGTCTTACTACTGCACACAGCTAGCAGTTCAATATTAGTCTTTCATTTCGCTTATCAAAGCAAAGAGTGGCTCGTATGCATTCGCACACACGCATTGTTTGAATACTTTCTCAATTGAATGTGCCGATGCACAAAACCGAGCATGAGAGGGAAAGAAAGAGGGAATGGGACAAAGTAATGCCAAGAAAGATATTCCAAGGTTTAATCCAAGTGCTAGTTCAATCATACAACTCGTGGAAAAAATGAAATTTCAATCCCCATTCGTTGGTATTGGGATATCACAGCGCAAATATTCACCGCAACAATTTTTTTTTGTAACGCATTAATTTTATGATGCACTTTTCTGTTACACGATCATGCATTGCGGATTAAACAATGTATATAAACAAATGAGCGGATTTACGCATTAAAATTGCGATACCGGCAAATAAAATGCAGGAAAAGGAAAACACGTGCGTAATACGTAAATATTTGAATTATTAATTGAAATACGTGCTATATGTGCAATCCGAGTATATTTGAACATTGCGCCATCGCTTGCGTCGGCACAAAAAAAAAATCACGTTCATCGAGAAGGCCGTTGAAGTTTGCCGCGTATGAGAAAAAGAAAAAGCGTACAACAACCGCACGCACATTTGATACACGGCAAGAGGCTTTCTGCCATGTCAAGCACACATAAAACCCGCAACATAAAAAAACGATATAATACGTAGACTTGCTGTTTTTTGTGCTTTACTTGCATGCCATTTCTTATCCGCCGACGAAAAGAAAATTGGTCGCTAAGAAAATTCCTCGCCAAATTTGTTACTTGATCTGACTTGTGTTGTGTGCTTTCACACTAATTGAGTCAAATTAACATTTCGCGGAACACACCATGAAATCGATGTATGAATTTTTTGTCAGCAAAAAAGTTTATTAACCTAATGAAATATGCAGATGCAAAGCGCCGCGGGGAAAAGCTCATTTTCTCGCCAAAAAATCCTTCAAACACGTCAGCAGATGGTTATATTCAAATTTTTGGCTAGGCTTTTCCCAGGAATTTCGTCTTATTCATTATCAAATTAGAATTGAATGTGAGCAAAAAAAAAGACAGCTCATGTTAAGCAGATTGAACAGGCTTTTCTTTCTGGTGTATCAACATGCTTTTTGCAAATTCATTTTCGGAGCAAAGTTTCCGTTTTTGTTTCTCTTGGGAAAGTTTGAGAAAAAACGCTTGTTTTTTCCATTTCGATGAGTTTCCAGCTGCATCACGCACATAACCTTAGGTGCATTTAGTAAAAAATGATTTATAGGCGAAAGTTTTTATGCACAGTCCACGAGATGAACGGAAAAAGAAAAACGCAAAACCCGACTCTTAGCTTTTAAGGCGATTGAACACATGCCGAAAAATATGAAGATTCATACATAAGCGCATAACTTTATTATCATGGGCCCAATAAATATAAACGTAAGACGGAATATAAAGGGGTTTTGAGATAACAGACCGGTTTTGTCAGCGAAATTTAATTCCGGAAACATACCGAAGCACAAAAGCAACTGCAATTATCTTGAAAACGAAGTCAACAACAGCTAATTAGTCTTTATTATGATGCATAACATTTCTGGCAATGGTGCAAAAGCATAAACACGTAGAAACCATCTCAACAGTAAATCCTTTGCCATCTGACAAAATTTACAATCATGGCTATACGAACGGAGAAAACAATCAACAGACGAAACAAGTTTGACATTTACTGCTCGATGGGATGAACGTTGAATACGATGTATTTCATTATCGTAAAATGCTATTTTTCCACAATATGAACACACCACAGCATATGGATCATGTTTTTACGAGGGGCAATTTTTTTTTCATAGCTTATCCATATGATGTACCTTTTCTATGAAAATCAAAAATCAACACAATCATCGTAAAAAAAAAAACTGGAAGGTGGCTCGTCTTGCATGTATGAAACATTTCATATCATTGAGCGTATTGGATATAACAAGTTTTGATGGAGGTTTATTCATCACAAAGCTTTGACCAACACACACATACACTGGGCCCTGCTGCAGACACCGAAATATCAACAAATACAGACAATTTGTATGTATTCGAACAACTTATTAAAACGCAATTTGGCAACAACAACAACAACAACAATAATAATAATAATAACAAGTTGAGCAGTCTCACAAGAGGCTCAATTCAAAATTGTCGTAGACAGCACGTCTTGTAAAAGCGTTTCTCCATTTCCCGTGAGTAAACGTAAATAAAATGAAGCGCACTAATTTTCAATGCAGACGAAATAATTAGATCGTGAACTGTTTATGTCTATCTAATGGACGCAAAAGTTCATTCAAGTCAAATTAATATTTGTATAAACTTGGATGAGGAAAAAAGGCAAACACACAAACACAATGGACCAGAGATTATTAATTTTTTTTGTTTCCATTCTGTTTGCTGACATGTGAGGGGACATAAAAAAACACGTGTTTTTAAATGTTCGATTCGATTTAAAAAAAATTCAACGCGAAAGGTTTCAATTATACTTCGTTTACTTGCAATTCGTTGTTGGGTCTGAGCATTGCATTGAATTAAGCATGAGGAGATATATTGTTTCAATATTTGTTT